AAACATGTACGCAAAGAGAATGCCATAATAACATGAAAGAAGAGATGGGATGATGTGTCTACAAGCCCAGGAATGTCAAAGATTTCTAACCAATTAACAGAAGCCGAGACAGGCATATAACAGGTTCTCCCTCATATTTCTCAGAAGCAAGTAAGCCTGAAGGCTCCTTGATCTAGCCTCCAGAACTGTGAGATGATATTTTGTTGTTCAATCTATCCAGCTTGTGGTACGTTGTTATGACATCCCTAGCAAATTAATACATAATGTCTCTGCATCACTGCTCCTGTGTATTAGCATGGATGGTTGAAAAGGTAGCATATAAATAGATACACAAGAAGAGAATGAACACGACCTTGGATTGACCTTGCCCTTCACGATAATAATTAGGTATGCATATTGCATCTAGTTAAGTAAATAATTAGATATGTGCATTGCATCTAGTTAAGTAAATAGTTAAAAAAATAAGCAATAGAAGGAAAGCCACAGAAGCACATTGAAAGACTTTTTCCCTAATGAAATACTTAGAAAACTGTAGAAACAAGAGAACAGATCATTACTGTTGTTGTGGTTTTGGCATAGAACCCATGTACAGTTATAGATTCACTATTTAACCTTCACTTGGTAAAATGTATATAATTAAACATTGAGTTATAATAGGCAGCAGTTCAATAAAAAGTGGCAGCCATTGGCAGAGTTTTTTTAAATTAATGAAAGCTGTCATAAGAATGAAGATAATGTTATACTTTAAAAAAGAGCTATTTTCTAATTTTTCCATCAAGTGAGCATTCTGTTTTTGTATCTAACTTTCATTTTTCTGGATTAAAAAAGGGCTTTTCTCTGGCACATGTAAATTATTTTGATTTCTAGGTCACTTGGAAGTAAAAACGTCAATTAACTTAGATCAGCAGCACCAAACCTAAGTTCAGTGGAGAAAAACAAAACAACAACCCCAAAAATACCAAAGAGAGAAATAGCAGTCCAGGTTTAGATAAAAATGCTGAATATAAGATAAAATACTTTTCTGGATGAAATCTAATAGAAACAAACAACCAAAACAAAATATTGCACTGTAAGAATAGCAATCAAAACTAGCTGACAGTATTCATTCATTCAACAAATATTTGTTGAGCATTTACTTTGTCCCTGGCATTATGCTAGCCCCCGGGAAGATAAGGATGAAGATCAAAATTACAATATGTTCATGGTGGTAAACATAAAAAACAAATGTGCAGTGGAATGTATATGATAATATCAGTTTTTTACAAGCCTTTTAAACAAAACCAAAGGATGATAGTTCCTAAGCTAAGGTCATAAAAAGGTCTTTTTGAAGAGATTTTTAAACTGACATGCACAGGAAGGTAAGAAGCTATTCATAGACAAGGGGGGAGTATTTCTAATTAAGAAAGAAGAAAAAGTTGCCATTTGATAAAGTTTTGTGATTTCTGGGAATGCGGGTCCTGAAAACTCAAACTGTTTCACCTGAGTGGAGATGATGATCATTCGAGTTCGGAAAACTAAGACAAAATTATTATATAATATAAAAATATATGATTTTTAAATGTTGGACAGTAGCATCCATTTAATAATTTTACATCTCGATTTGAATAGAACATGCAGTATATTACATATCACATAGGTCCACACTGAAACAGGTCTTAAATATAACTAATTAAAATGCTTCTTTTGCTTCATAAATATACTTTAATATGTTTTGCATAATTTACCATTAACATACTATGCAGGACATTATTTTGAAAACACACAGCTTACATCTAAACAGTGCTTATGATTTTCTATATTCAGTTTGTACTGTAGACATATTATTTTCATTTTGCATGTGAGGAAACTGAGGTTGACATATATCATGGAAATTATTTCAGGGCAAAGAGCTAGTAGGTGGCAAAATGAAGATTTAAACCATGAAGGACTGGATTCAGAATCCATGTATGTAATACTCATCTAGCTGCATTGCTTGAATTTTCGTTTTGGCTTATATTTAATCAAATATAAAAAGTTCATAAAGAACATGTCTGCTTTACATATTGTGTTGTATTTTGACTATAGTTTTCATCAACAAGATGAAAACTTTAAAGGAATGTTCGTCTGATTTCCAGCCAGTTCATCTTCAATTCTCCCAAACCAAATGCAATAATTCTTACATGGCACAACTTTTTAAAATGCAAATCCTTCCAGACAAGTGAGGGCAAATTTATCTTGCAGGAAAGCAGACATGCATTGGCTTTGATCCTTTGGAGAAAACACAGAAGACAAAAAATTACAAGTAAAGCAATGGAGAATTTGGAAAGTGGGCTTTATTCCACATGGATAGAGTTAAACAAAATGGTAGCATGATCCTAGGGAGGCATACTTCATTCATTTCCCTCTTTCTCACTTCATGATTTTAAAATTCATTTTCCAAGTTGATTTTTCTATTTGTTTTCCATAACAATTTCTTTGCACCATTAATATTGAGCAAGACTTGAAGGTGTCTTCCTTACAAGACACATTGTAAGGAAGACCTAGAGGACTGTTGGAAACCATCTACGTAAGGACTATAATAGAGTGAAATAGAAGGTAAAAATAAACTTTACATGTTACTCCTTTTGTATTACGTAGATGATAACAAACAAAACATAACATCACTATTGTACACATGGAAAATATCCCCTTACATGTTTTTTCACTGAAACTTAAAACTTCAGAGTAATTATGGTCTTCTCACTGAATGTAGATGTTATTTATAAATATGCAGAATAACTTCTGAAAAGAATTCTTAGGAATACTGTACGTCAACCTATGTCAACAGACCTTGATATGGTTTGGCTGTGTTCCCACCCAAATCTTATCTTGAATTGTAGTTTCTATAATCACCATGTGTTGTAGGAGTTAATGAACCGTGCTGTTCTTGTGATAGTGAGTGAATACTCATGAGATCTTATGGTTTTATAAGGGGCTTTTCCCCCTTTCCTTGGCACCTCTCCTTCCTGCCACCATGTGAAGGAGGAGGAGGACATGTTTGCTTCCCTTTCTGCCATAATTGTAAGTTTCCTGAGTCTTCCCTAGCCAAGCTGAACTCTGAGTCAATTAAACCTCTTTCCTTTATAAATTACCCAGTCTTAGGTATGTCCTTATTAGCAGCAGGAGAAGAGACTAATACAGGACTCATGGTTACCTCCACACACACTAAATTTAAACATTTTATCTTCATGGTAACTTTTCTGTTTTTCCTGTTCTTCCCACTAAATCTTTGAAAATATGAAGTCTAAATAAACTAAGAACTATGGTTTAGTGTTATTTACCTTTAAAATTTTATGTAACTGCTTTGCGTATTCCACATGGAATTTACAGGATTTTTTTTTGTATGGTTCGCTCAACATCTATGAATAAAATTTGAAGACCTATTTGCTTTTTGTTTATAGGAAACAAAATAGAACCTTATTGAATTTTACTGTTGGTCTTAGAAAAAGTTAACAAGGTGAATTGGTTGTGCCTCTGAGAAGATAAGATTTTATTGCTGTTAGTATAAGATTCTCTAAATTTAAACGTGTTTCTTCATCTATGATAAGTAAATATGTGGAAAGGCAAAATGTTAGCAGTGTCTTAGTTCTTTCAATTCAGAGCTGTTTCACTTAAATTTAGTTTGTTCAAAATAAAACAATGGATACCTAAATTTCTTAGGCTAAAAAAGAGTATAAATTTACACTTTTAAACAATTCATGTCAATGAATGTCAAAGCCTTGATTATAATTCAGCCACAGTTACTGATTGCAAAGAGAAATGTTTAAAATACAATAAACACTTATGTACAAACACAATATAAAAATAGCCAAAAATATTTCATCTTGCAAACACCTGAAGCTATTTCATTCAGGCAATTTTTACTTCAATCTATTCTTTGCTATGTCAACCTATGCTCCAGAGAATTTTTTCCTTGTATGAATGACATTGTGTTGGCATATACTCTTTGAATAGAGATTTATGCTACACTCATTCTGACAGCATATTGTTATTTACAGAGAAAAGACAACTATTGTTATGCTACATTTGATTGCATTAATATTAGAAAGAAGAAAAAAATACCACAGAAAGATGTCACATTTGAAATGAGCTTTTTGTAGTCATTTCCTAAATAGATTTTTTTTTTTTTTTTGAGACACAGTCTTGCTCTGTCACCCAGGCTGTAGCGCAGTGGTGTGATCTTGACTCACTGCAAGATCCGTCTCCTGGATTCAAGCTATTCTCCTGCCTTAGCCTCCCAAGTTGCTGAGACCACAGGCACATGCCACCACACCTGCCTAGTTTTTGTATTTTTAGTAGAGATGGGGTTTCACCATGTTGGCCAGGCAGGTCTCAAACTCCTAACCTCAAGTAATCCACCCACCTTGGCCTCCCAAAGTGCTGGTTGAGCCACAACACCCCACCCTAAATAGATTTTGAATAAGCTTTCTGGATTCACAGACTAGTAAACACAAATGCAAAAGACTTGAGTTCCAATTCGCTGTCTACCTCTAATTCAGGCAGTTATCTTGGGACGAACAACTTTTCTAGTCTTAATATTTTTATCTTCCAAATTTAAAAATAAAACCTATTACATATGGATCCATGACAAATAGTGACATATTCCATATGCACTTTATAATTAAACATGAATTAGCCAATTTTTTAATCTTTAAAATGAAAAATTTAATTGATTGCCTATGGATCTATGAAAAAAGTGATATATTTCATAAATACCTTAAAAGCATATGAATGAGTTAATAGTTTACTACCAAGATAAAGAAAATAAATGTAGTATTGTTTCTTTATCTCTGGGTCACCACATTGGAGAAAAAAAGATGAATATGAATTAATATTTGAATTAATGTTTCTCTTAAGTCTATTAGGCAGCACATAAGGATATAATACTGGTTCCTTTTAGGAAATGTAACATTTGGTTGATGTGACCTTCTCCTTACTTTCTCGTGGATTCCAACTTGTTTCTGTACATTTCATCTCTCCAGACCACACAGCTCTCTTGTGTTACTGTGAGAATTACAACACATCTGTTGCAGCATCATTAGCAATATCCTACAGAGGAAGAGCATTGGTGACACCCAGCAAAACCTGTATATTGCTCAGGTAGCAAGAAAATAATAAAAGAGAGAATAGGGGAGAAAAGAAAAGTCATGTTTTCAAATATAAGAAGACTTAATTTTTATATCACAGTTCAGACACATAACAAAGCATACCACAAATAAAGAGAATTCAATAAGGCCAGGAGCTTGCATTACAGGTAAAGAAAAAAATTTTAGACTCAAAATTTATTTTCCCAGCTACTCAATCCCTTAAATGGAACTTTCACAATGGAGACACCAGTTGCAAAAGCAAACCAGTTTCAAAATATTGGTGAAAGAAATATTGAAGATAATCTAACATACAATCACTGGAGGATAGGCTTACTGAAAAATAAAGCAGAATGCCTAATATGTTGTCACTACTGAACACTTACTATATCTATCCACCTGCCAGAAATATACAAAGCTGGATACACCTAGAGAGAAATGAGTCCTATTCCTAACCCTAATCTGTTCCATCTGTTCGCTTAAGGAAATGTGTGCACCACATCACCTATAAAAGGCAGTCAGGAAAGTACAATGTAGATGGTTATTCCTTCATATCTAACCATTTCATCCTCAGATACAGTATAGTGTAAGGATAACTTCTTAAATGAGTTGTTGACAAGACTAGATTTACTCGGTTGCTACCATAACCTATAACTAATGACCACATGGACCCTAAATAAAACCAGAATTTGTTGTCCACATTTCTTATCTCATTTACCTGTTCCTGCTTCATAAGTTTTCCATTTACATTTTCTTATCACTGAAACATCATTAGTTACAAAAATTCACATTGAAGACTGAATTTTGATTAAGTAAATATTTTAGATGAAAATTATAAAAATGAACAATATTCAAGAAATCAATACTTTTTTTCCCAGAATGCTACATTTATACTGGTAAAAGAGGGCATTGAACTAAAATGAGTGGAGCCTAACAGAGAAGCTGTGCTAGCTACTCTACTTCTAGTCATTGTCTGCATTTCAGTAGCTTAACAAAATTGAAGTCATTTCTTACTCATATCAAAGTACAATATGGTTATTTCTGGTCAATAAGGGGAAGGGAGAGTGATGTTGCTACAAAAAATTTGAAAAAAAAGCCAAGGACCCAGCTGACAGAAACTCTGTAAATCCATATCCAATTGGTGGAATGAGAAAGATACTGGATACTATTGCATAGATGTTTCAGCAAGACCTGGAAGCTGTACCTATCACTTCTGCCAAAATTCCATTGGCAGCAAAACTGTAACATGGTCTCCCCTAACTCCAAGGAATCCTGAGAGATATAATGTAGCTATGTATTCAGGGTAGAGAGGAGATGAATTTAAAGAGGAACAATCAGTCTTTTCTTCCACAGTCTGTCCTCCTGGTCAATAAAAAAATCATTTGCAGTCTTATTCAAACTCACACACTATATTCTCTTGTTCCCTTAAAAAAGAAAACCAATGTCTATCCCAGGTTCTTCTTATATTTCAAAGTCCAATATCTCAGTTTGAGCCTGCTATTTATGTTCAAATTTGGTATCACATCATCTGGAAACTTATAAACTAAAAATAAATTACCTGCCTCTTACCCAGCTCCCACAACGTGCAGTGGTAAACTAAGGACAACGTAATCTTGGTTAAAAAAAATAGCCTATGTTAAAATAGAAGAATAAGAGACGTATAGTAGTCATACATACATATTGGTCCTTGGCAATAATAAACTCCTTTTCAGTTCCTGTGCTAGGAAAGGGGGGATTTTTTTTATTAGGCTCAAGATCTCTGGCATTCTTCGTAGGCACTTGATTCCAATCTTCATGTCACAATATCCTTGACGATTACTTCTGAATTGGGTAGTGAGGAATATATCCTGTGTGGGAGAGTGGTGTTTCCTTCAGTTGCAAAGATTTAGGTACCTAGGAAGGTTTTAGAACTGCAGTACGTTTAGATGAAGTTTTTGTTTCTTTTTTTATTTTCCTTGTTAATTTTATTCTCTGCGAAGCTTAATAGACTTCTGATCTATTGCTATTAGTCAATTACATGTGAATAAACATACCAAAATTTTCTTCTAGTTTAATTTTCAAGCCTGGTTCTTTTTAATCCTCATGCAAAGTGAAATAATTAGCATGGATGGGAAGAAAAGTTTCCTAATGTAATATTTACCAAATGATTGATATGCTCTCTTTAAGAAATCTTAGTGGATCTTTGCCATGCAAATCCCTTTTCTAGTAATACCTCTTACTGCTTAGTAACTGGAAGCTTTAGGCTTTCCCCAAATTGTGTAGCTTCAACTTTCTCACCACTATTTTCTTTCTACCACTGTTCTGAATTAGTCAACTTTCATCTCTCTTTTTAATTTTATTTTTAATTTCATTACTTGTTCTCATTTATAAATGGGAGCTAAATAATGCATATACATGGTCATAGCATATAGAATAATAGGCTTTGGAGACTCTTTTCTCTTTTTTAATAACACCTCTCTAAAACATTTAATGTAATTTATGTTTAATTAATTAAACTTTTGTTTAATTAATGTAATGTTAACTGAATTTGCTGTCCACATTTCTTATCTCATTTACTTGTTCCTCTTTCCTAAATTTTCCATTTTCCATTGAAGACTGAATTTTGATTGATGAAAATATTTTAGATGAAAATTATGAAAATGAACAATATTCAATAAATTAATACTTTTTCCCAGAACGCTACTTTTATACTGGTAAAAGAAGCCATTTTCGTTCAATATTCAATAAATTAATACTTTTTCTCAGAACACTACTTTTAAATTAAATTAATTACTACAGTAATTAGTTAATGTAATGTAAACATTTATATTAAGTAAAAGTTAACAAACATGAACATTCTCACTTTTTCCAAACACTTCCCTAAGACTACATGGTTTGTCTTAAGTAGGACATGGTTTGTCTTCAGAATTATTACGGATAGCTATAGTTTACTCAGCTATTTCACCACTAAGTAATAAAAGTCTTCAACTTTTCAATCTAAAGTTGCTAATCCCTAATCCTCTGCAACATACCTGCTAAACTGATAACACCTCTGCTCCCTCCACCTATTTATGAATTAGGTGAAAGCTATGTGATATTAAATGCCAACATTTTTGAGGCACAGCAGACTACAAACAAGTCTTTATAATAGCCTTATAACAGTCAATGCTAATATATCTGCTTGTAGATTGGCTGGTTTTTGTCCGTACAATGTATACTTTCCTCCAGTTCTTTTTTGTGGCTCCAAATCCCCTAGGTTAGGGCCTCTTCATTCTAACTATGAAACTCACAAAAAGAGATAAAGGAAACAAAGGAGGCACAGATAATTCCTTAAAACCTTGGACAGGAGTAATACTTGCCCTTTCTCATAGCATTCTTTGCTAAGGACTAGTAATAAGGCCACACATATAGGTATGGAAAGGTAGGCCAGATAACAGGATCCCTGATTGGGTCTTTGCTACAGAAAGGAATATGACTCTGGGGAACAATTGCTGCCTCCATTTTTAATGGACTGAATTATGTTTCCCCAAAATTCATATATTGAAATACTAGTTTTGAGTACTTAGAATGACTGTATCTGAAGATACAAACTTTAAGAGGTAATTATGGTAAAATGAGGTCATTAGGGTGGGCCCTAATTCAGTAAGACTGATGTCTTCATTAGAATAGCTAATTTAGGCATGAAGAGAGACACTCACACAGGGAAGATGTGAAGACACAGGGAGAAGATGGCCGTTTACATAAAGTCAAGAAGAAAGGCCTGAAACATTCTTCTTCCATGGTCTCGCATAAGGAACCAACCTTGGTGAAACCTTGATCTCAGACATCCAGCCTCAAGAACTGAGGAAATAAATTTCTGTTGTTTAAGCCATCCAGTGTGTGGTACTTTTATATGATGACTCAGCAAACTAATACAGCATTACACACCGGAGAGAAGAAAAGAATCCAAGTAAGTATATGTGTCAACTACCATAAGGGCAAATTGAGTTCCTATCCTAAAGGAAAATACTACTATTAGATAAATTTCAGAAATATCTTATAAAGATGTAATAATGGATAAAGCACATACATTTTCTTACTATAAACATATACATGCATTTAGAATGGAAAGGCATTATTATATACTAATTCTTGTGCTGACCCCAGAAAGTTTACCTGTACCCCTCAAATACCTCTCACCAGAATGAAGGCAGAAGTTACACGAAGTAGCACAAAGAACCCCCACTACAGATGTAATGATACCCAAATCCCTTTTAAAGTATGTCTCTGTCTATTTTGGTGAATTTTTTCTTATCTGAAATACAAATGCCACATGTTCTCACTTATAAGTGGAAGCTAAACATTGCGTACAGGTGGATACAAAGGAGAGAACAATGGACACCAGGTCTACTTGAGGGTGGAGGGTGGGAGAGGGTGAGGGTGGAAAAGTTACATATTGGGTACTGTGCTTACTACCTTGGTGATGAAATCATTTGGACACCAAACCCCAGTGACACACAATTTACTCATGTAGCAAACCTGCACGTAACAACCACCTCATTCTAAAAATAAAAGTGAAAAAAGAAATAAAACAAAACCCTGTGTTGAAATCTCCTGAAGCTCTTGCATTATAGGGAAATGACCATACTTCTCAAGATTTATTCAGTCATTGTCTGGGGTAAAATATTTTAAACAAATTGTTGCTGAAGGAATGTTTGCATTTAAATAGGTGATGAAGACCTTGAAAGTTATATAAGAGCTGATAAAATAATCCAGAACAAAAAAGACACAAGATCCTACTAGTTTTGCTTCTTCGTGAGAGGCATATGAAAATAATGGTGTTTCTGTATCCCAGAAGTCTTGATCAACTGAAAGAAGCAAGAAACGTAGCAGCTTAACCTGCTGATGAGAGTGGGAGTTGAAATTATAAAGGACAAACAAAGACTGCCAGAAAAGTTAGCTGATGTAGAGAGGGAATTGGGATACATTGGCGTCTAATATTTTGCTGATACCCTGCAGTAAAAAGTTAATACTGGAGTCTGCAAAATAAAACATTCGGTAGTTAAAAACTTGCTCCTCTCCCTTATAACAAGCAGATTAGGGAAGAGACGAGCAAAAGTCTAACAATAGATATGCCCTTCTCTTTTACTCTTTAATATCTATGCTCATTATTTTACTTACATTAAGAAACAGTATTATTTCATTTGACATGAATCAACTATTTATCAAATAAAAAAAATACATCAGCTTGTCCTTTTCTTTCCCCTCCTTCTCTTCTTTCCTTCTCCTCTTCCTCTTCCTTATTCTTCTTTCTTCTTTTTCTTCTTCTCTCCCTTCTCCATAATGAGAAACACAAAACTCCATTAGTCATTGAAAGAATCTCAAGATCTCTAGCACAAGGACCAGATGTGTCTTATTTTCATAATCTATGAAGGTATAAAATCATAAAAATCAACTTAAACAACTATTGACATGCAAAAATATTTTCCCAATAGTGAAGGAACACAGGTGAGAGATCACAGTACCTGATTATAGCACAGTAATAAGAAATTATGCATTGAAGAGAGTAAGAAGAAAAGTATTACATCATATGTGTCACCCCTCCCCCAATCACAGGGAGCACAGCATGGGAAGAGGTATCATTCACTTGTGGGAGAGAGAGAGAAGCAAGCAAAGGACTTTGTCTTGGACTCACTAGACCCAGCACAGTAAAACCCGGCACTGGCAGACATTCACAACCCTACTTTCCAGTTCAGAACAAATGGAGTAACTGTTTAGAACTGACTTGATGCCAGGTGGGATCACACAGCCCCAGGTGCCAGGCTTTTTTGGAGAACTCGGCCCCTGGCCTGCACCATTGCTGAGCTGATGTCAGTGGCCCTGGGTCCCAGACAGCCCTCAGCAACAGGCAGCTCACTAAGCTTCGTGACTTTGTGTCCCAGCATCATGCCTGCCTTAGTGTATCCCAGGCTTCTGGCAGTGCCATGCGGGCTGAATCTATCCTAAGCTTCTGGTCTGCCCCAGACAAAGAAAGTTTGTGGAAACTGGAATAAGCATCTGCTTCTTCAAATATGCAAACATTAACAGATAGCCATGAGGATCAAGAATAATTAGGGAAATGTGATATCACCAAACCA